TACATAATTGAGCTTGGCCCGGTCTCAGCCTTAATAAGCAGTTGAATACTCTGCAGCTTAAAGATGCTCGTCTACATTTTAGAATATCTGAGTTGAAAATGTAGTCACATTTTAGTTTAACTGTGGTCATTACAATTATGGAAATTCACATAATAATTGCATATGGAAACTCACGTAATAGCACTCATCTTCATTCTGTTTTTGGCTTTAATCATTAATTCGAAAATTTGGTTAGAAACAACTTGAAAGTGTGACTTTCACATATTGTTGTATCTTTTGTTTTTAGCATCTAGCTATTTTCTATTTCTTATAGCACTTAAATTATGATTCCTTGTGCTTTTTTAGCTGAAGTTATACGGAGGTTAAACATTTTCGAAGGAGTAAAGTGTGTACTTTTCAGGACACTGGATATCAAAATGTAAACTTTACATCAAAAGGTTTATGCTTAGTGTTTCGAGACTGGTCGAACTTTGGTGTTAAAGTATGTTGAATTACATTGTATATATCATAGGGTTATTTTAGTCTTTGTATATTCCATCTTATTCTGTTAGAGTCGTCAATGTGTATATATGTGGCTGCTGGTTCCTCTTAGCAAAATAGATTGAGTAAAACAGAATTTCCCTCCATTTCTCTCATCTTCCATATTTTACTTCTCTACATTTTGACATGGTATCAGAGCATTAACGTTNTCTCTACATTTTGACATTGTATCAGAGCATTAACGTTTCCGCACGCTAATGGTGAAGGATGCTGGTGTTCTAGCTGAGATCGAAGCTGATTTTTCAGTCGATCGAACTCCTGGAGAAACAGCGGCTGAGAATGTGATTTCGGTGATGAACAAATTGATCACCGATCCAAATAGCCCATACTATCTACATTACGGCGATAATACTGGAATGCAGCTTATTTCAGTCACGCTTGCTGAAGATAATTACGCGACATGGAGTCGAGCTGTCATCATGGCCCTTAGTGTGAAGAATAAAGAGGGGTTTATAGATGGATCAATTACTGAACCGCATCAGGAGGATGTTCTTCACCGTGCTTGGAGAAGGTGTAATCATGTGGTTTCATCATGGATTATTAACTCGATTCCAAAGGAGTTATACCCAAGCGTGATGCACAAAGACTCCGCCAGGCAGATCTGGATTGAACTAAAAGACAGGTACAGCCAAGGTAATGGACCTAGAATATATGAAATTAAGAAACAGATTGCTTCTATTTCTCAGACGAACAGTTCTGTGAATGCATATTTCAATAGACTTAAAGGACTTTGGGAAGAACTTGAGAACTATAGACCTAGTGTTGATAAGGATGAGTACAAATCTGAGGATCAAGTAATGCAATTTTTGATGGGGTTAGATGACCAATTTTCGAATGCAAGGAGCCAGATATTGTTAATGGATCCACTTCCTCCACTCAATAAAGTGTTTGCCATGATATTACAAGATGAAAGGCAGAAGGAAGTACTTACTAAGAAGTCACAGAATTTTGATGCTGCTGCTTTTGCTGGTAGAATGGTTCACAATTCATTTGCAAATCAAAGGAATTACTCATTTAGTCAATCACAGAGGAAAGATAAGCCTATATGCACTTATTGTGGGATGATTGGGCATCTTCGAAGCAAATGCTACAAAATTGTTGGTTATCCCCCAGGTCACAGACTTGCGAAAGGAAAGGATCCAGTCGCCAATGCTGTTGGTTCAGTATCTCATAACTCTAATTCTGATGTGTTGAATTCACTGTCCAACATCACCATCTCTCCAGGGCAATGTCAGCAGCTCTTGGCCATACTTGCTCCACATCTACAGGAACAAGTGTCTACAGGCAGACAACAGCATAGAGAGGTGATTTCATCACCACCTCAAATACCAGAAGCCTGTGCTTTCTCAGGTAATCGTGTATGTTTTAATGATTCCATAGCCACAGAAAAGTGGATATTAGACACAGGAGCTTCAGAGCATATGGTTTGCTCGATTAAATATCTGGTCACTGTGAGTGCCAAAATCAATGCCTCTGTGAGACTACCAGATGGTTCTATTGCCACAGCCACTCATGTTGGGACAGTGAAGTTGTTTAATGATTTACTATTGATAAATGTCTTAGTGGTGCCATCATTTCAGTTTAACTTGATTTCTGCTAGCAAATTGATTCTTCAACACAATTGCTTCATTATATTCATTCGCAATTGTTGTCTTATTCAGGATCTTTCAACATGGAGGATGATTGGGGTAGGCAGGCTTGAGAATGGGCTATACAATCTTCAACAATCTGGATATCAGAAATGTGCTCAGACTACATCTCTTCATACACCTCTTCATCAACAAGTCTCTTCTATTCCTGTTGTTTTTCCCAGTACCAATTCGAATTTGAAATGTAATAATTCTGCATCTGCTGTTTGTAATCTTGCTGACAATGTTAATGTTCAAACCAAAATTGATATCTGGCATTGCCGTTTGGGGCATCTACCCATTTCTAAATTGTCTTCTCTGCATAGAATTGTTCCAAATATTACTTTTAATAAGCACATACATTGTTCCGTTTGTCCCTTAGCCAGACAACATAGACTGCCTTTCCCTGTTAGTGACATAAAATCATCTCACGCTTTTGATCTCATTCATTGCGACATCTGGGGGCCGTATTCTGTTTCTTCTCTTGATGGATCAAAATATTTCTTAACCATCGTCGATGATTACAGCAGAATGACCTGGACTTATCTCCTACGTGAGAAGTCTCAAACAAAATCCATTATTCAGTCTTTCTATAACTTGGTTTTGACACACTTCAACTGTAAAATCAAACACCTTCGTTCTGATAATGGGTTAGAATTTCTCATGCCTGACTTTTATCGCGATAAAGGGATTATTCATCAATTGAGTTGTGTCGAGACACCACAACAAAATGGGGTAGTTGAGCGTAAACATCAACATCTTCTAAACACAGCTAGGGCTCTTAAATTTCAAGCGAGTTTACCTCACAAATTTTGGGGGGATTGTATTCTCACTGCAACCCATTTGATTAACAGGATACCCTCTTCTGTCATCGGTCATAAATCTCCTTTTGAAGTATTATATCAAACCACTCCTTCTTACAATCATCTTAAGGTTCTTGGCTGTCTTTGTTATGCCTCCACCCTTAGGAGGAATCGTACCAAATTTGACCCTAGAGCTACTCCATGTGTTTTCCTGGGTTATCCATATGGCATGAAAGCTTACAAGCTTTATAATCTTCACACAAATGTTACCTTTACTTCACGAGATGTCTTTTTTCATGAGACTATTTTTCCTTACCAAAATCCTGAATTTCTCAAATCTCTGTCTACACATCACATGTCACCTGACAGCAATCAAAATCTGTTTTCTACTCTACTTCACTCTTTTCATGATAATGTCAATTTTTCCACTTCTCCACATATTACTGGTACAGAGGCCTCTCCTTCCACTTCTCCCATTTCTTCTCCTCCTCTTGATATTTCTCAGTCTACATCCTCTTTACCTTCAGATAATACCTCTCCTGATCTATCCTCTTCAGACTTATCTTCATCTGAAGTTTCTTCTCTTCCTGCCACTATACCCACTCGAAAGTCCAGCAGATCCACAAGGGCTCCTTCCTATCTACATGATTACCATTGTAGCATGGTCTCTCAAATGCCTCCTACCCAATCCAATCTCCTGGTGAATGATTCTGCTTCTGGATCTCAGTATCCTGTTGAAGATTATTTGGGGTATAGAATGTTGTCTCCCTCTTACAGACACTATGCTATTGCTTTGTCCACCATCAGTGAACCTCAGTCCTTTGTTGATGCGGCTAAAGATCCAGCTTGGTGCAAAGCTATGGATACAGAGTATAATGCTCTGATGTCCAATAACACTTGGTCTGTGGTTCCTTTGCCTACTCATAAAACCCCTGTTGCCTGCAAATGGGTGTTCAAGGTTAAGTTGAATTCGGATGGTACAGAGGAGAGAAAGAAGGCCAGACTTGTGGCTAAGGGGTTCACCCAACAAGCTGGCTTGGACTATGAGGAGACATTTTCACCGGTTGCCAAGCTCGTCACCGTCAAAACCTTGCTGGCTGTTGCTGCACAAAGACAGTGGCATATCCATCAATTGGACATTAACAATGCTTTCTTACATGGCGACTTGGAGGAGGAAGTTTATATGATGATGCCCCAGGGGTATGAGCAGCAGGGGGCGAATGGTGAGCAGTTGGTTTGCAAATTAAACAAATCTATTTATGGACTCAAACAGGCGTCAAGACAATGGAATGCCAAGTTGTCCTCTTACATCACTTCTCAGGGATTTCGACAGTCGAAATCTGATTACTCTTTGTTTTACAAACAAAATGGCTGCTCATTCACCACACTTCTCATTTATGTTGATGACATTATCATTGGTGGCAATGATCTTACATATATTGAGCATTTCAAACAAGGACTGAATGAACGGTTCAAGCTGAAAGATCTGGGTGTATTGAGGTACTTCTTAGGTCTTGAAGTGGCAAGAAGCTCCAATGGCATATCTATTTGCCAAAGGAAATATGCACTGGAAATATTGGCTGAATCCGGATATCTTGGTGCGAAGCCAGCTACCAGTCCATTGCCACAGAATCTGAAGCTCAACAAGGATGATGGTGAAGTTGTTAAGGATGTCAGTATGTATAGGAGATTAATAGGGAAGCTTCTATATTTGACAATCACGAGACCTGACTTGTCATATTCTGTACAAGTCCTCAGCCAATTTCTTCAAATGCCAAGGCAACCTCATTTGGAGGCAGCATACCATGTGTTGCGTTACTTGAAGGCAACACCTGGGCAAGGTATATTCTTTGCTCAGAAATCAGATTTGCACCTTAAGGGTTATTGTGATGCAGACTGGGCTGCATGTTCCGACACCAGAAGGTCCATTACCGGTTACTGCATTTTTCTGGGAAACTCTCTGGTTTCATGGAAATCGAAAAAGCAACATACGGTTTCGAGATCCTCAGCTGAGGCTGAGTATAGGTCGATGGCAGCAGCGGTTTGTGAGTTCAGTTGGTTAAGGAATATTCTTAAAGATCTGGGAGTTTTGCACAACAAGGCTGCATTGCTGTTCTGTGATAATATGTCAGCCATACATATCGCTAGTAATCCCGTTTTCCATGAGCGCACAAAACATATAGAGATTGATTGTCATTTGGTGCGTGATAAGGTTCAAGCTGGAGAAGTAAAGACCCTGCATATTGCCTCACAGGAGCAGCTAGCAGATCTTTTGACAAAGCCATTAGGAGGAAACAAGTTTAAATCTCTGTTACTCAAGATGGGAATTTTGAATATCCATTCTCCATCTTGAGGGGGCGTGTTGAATTACATTGTATATATCTTAGGGTTATTTTAGTCTTTGTATATTCCATCTAATTCTGTTAGAGTCGTCAATGTGTATATATGTGGCTGCTGGTTCCTCTTAGCAAAATAGATTGAGTAAAACAGAATTTCCCTCCATTTCTCTCATCTTCCATATTTTACTTCTCTACATTTTGACAAAGTACATATGATCCATTCAAAATTAGATAAGTCTATCTTTGTATTTTTCATTTTTCAAAAACTCGTAGAAAAGTGATATTCGTCTTCTATTTTATTTGCAACTCACAACACAACCTATGTAAGATGTATACTGTTGCAAGGTCATTGCTCCTTTTGGACTTTCAATTCATCTGATGTGCCACTTGAGAGGGATTGTTAGATTTCACGCAAAGTGGGGTTTGAGTATATAATTTTAAACTTGATTAACTTACGTATTGTCTCTTCCTCTGTGATCTCTCAAAAGTAATAAAATATTTGCTCTGGCATTATTCCATTTGCAATATGAGGACATACAGTTGAACTAAAGTGATTGCATTTTTAGGCGTCTTATGTATAAACCGAAGTTCGACTTTAGCTACACTGGTTTTCAGAAAGATGGGGCAGAGTTGTTGGTGAAAAACACTGACATCAAACATATTGGTAATGAACTATTGGATCTTTGAATAAAATTAGTTATTAATGCTTGTTTTGAAATAAAGAATATAGATGTGAGTAGATAAAGGAAGAAAGAAATGTCCTAAATAATTTGGTCTTTTTATATATGTTAATCTTTATGCATATTGTTTTTGTTGAGAGCTATTTTTCTTTTTCCTTGGGTGAGAAAACTTAAGTTCTCATTAGTGTTTTGGCTAATTTTTCGTGATTTTTTATATTGCAAAGAAGTGGTTGCTCTAAAGCATGTTGTCGTTCTTTTTTTTTTGTAGGACTTGATTACTTATCCATTGCTCTAAAAATCAGATAAGGTTGATGTGTATCAGGTGTTGGGCAAGGCAATGTTAAATGCCTTCCATTATTATCTTCCACCAATGTTTCGCTGCATTGACAAGCTATATACATTCCAGGATAAAAAAGAATAATTTATTTGGCCATTTGGCTTTAATTAAAATAATGAAAATGAAAAGAAAAAATTCAGTAATGCTTCTTATCTGGACTCATGATTCCTATATTTATGATGGTAAGTCAATGAATGCCATTTAATTGCCACGTAGATTCATGATGATCGTGTATTTAGATAAATAACATAATTATTTTTTTGTTGAATTGGTGAAAAAGGGTTGAATATTAGTCCATTAACATTTTGAAAATCTTTGGTCACTGCGATTTATGTATTAAAGGTTATGATTTAGATGGATCTTCTCTGCTTCATGGCAGTCAAATCGTTTCATATCCTACTTTTCGAATAGGGGACAAGAAATCAAATTATAATGTAGTCAATTGAGATTTTAGTTCATTTGTATATCAAGTTAATGTTTATTGTTTTACACGAGAAATTGCCATCCGTGTCTTGTTATATCAATTTACTAACTCAAGTTTTGCTTTAGGATGTAGTTCCCGTGGAAGGTTTAAACCGCAATTTGTAGCACATTTCATGATTTAGGCACAAGAATTGTTCCAATGTCATGATAAGAAAGTTGCAGTCAACACTTGTATGCACAATTTATATGTCAAACTCTAAGAAAGCAAGGACACTTTCGGACGGAATTGGAAGATTGGACCATGGACAAGTACATGGTCCCTTATCCATGGTCCAAAAGTACTAATTCCTTTTTCATTATTTTGGACATGTTGGGTAGACTAGGACACATTGTCGTCACACTAGCAACAACATTCTACCTTGTTTCAATTTTGAAAAGATGAAAAACATGGATTAAAGCATAATATGATAAAGTTTTAGGTTGAAAAACCTTAGGAAGAAAACTCTAATAAACAGATGTTCTTTTACATTCATATTCGTCAGTTTTTTTTCAACTTCCATTTTTTACATGCATCTCATAAATAGCTTAAGTAGTTCTTTAGTTTTGGGAATTCCATGTTCTGATTTTTGCGGCAACTCTTCCACCTTTATTTAGATGTTTTTTCTTTGATCTGTTTTTCTTGAACTAATTTTTTCTAAATTTAGTCAGTTGTTAAATTGAACTTGACAGTTAAAATCTTTTTCTTGAGGTTCACTTAGTTCATTCAGTAGCCCTTTCTTTTTCTTTTTACTTTGGGCTATGTTTATAAATTTCAGAAGGTTGCCATTATTTTTCTCGTGAAAAACAATGCGTGCTATTAGGTCAATCAGTTGCGTTACAGTCAGTTTTTGCCAATCGTAGCCATGAGTTTACAGATAAAAACAAATAATGCTTCACCTTCACTTGCTTTTGTAATTTTGACCTTTCTTCTAATCTTTACTATCTTTGACGCATGATAATCCAAAATTGCAAAAGCAAATAGGATGTATGACAAGCATCTTTCAATTGTTCAATCGTCAACTTATTCCTATTAGGAGGTGCATCATTGGCCACAGCTCAAAATGGTTGTCTCCCCATAAATATTTCTTATACTAATTGCTTAGTATTGCTTACGATCAATAATCTTGTAGATGAATACTCTATTTTAATGTGCTTCTTATAGATGATATATATCGTTTACTGATGGAACTAAGAACCTCACTCAGGTTGATGGTCGTGTTTTGCCAACTCCAAAGGTACATTTTTGAAGAAATATTATTCTTGATGGATGTATTTACAAATCGGTTATATTGTAATTTGGTTTTGTTGAGGTGGGTGAAAAGGCTTCAACTAATCTTTAATTATCAAACTGCGGTTGAAAGCTAAAAGTGTAGATAAATATATATGCTCGAAATGAGAGGTAGATGCAGCCGGTGTCCTCAGCTATTTGAGGATAAATGTTGTGGTGTTGTGCAGGGTAGAGAGCATAGAGCAACGGAGAAAGGAGATGGCAGTGATTTGGAGTTGGGATGGAAGTGGAATCAACAGGTTGAAGGTAGTGGGGCTTACAGTTATATTGGTTGTTGTGGGTCAATGTCATGTTTTGTGGGTAGGCGAAAGATGGTGGTTTGGGCTAGGATTTGAAGGGTCAATTGGGTTATTTGGGTCACTCAGTCGGGTATTATATCAATCCATTATGTACAAGTAGTATTATTCAAACGACAACAATAAGTATTCCTCGAAGACGAAGTACAACTTTATCTTTCTTGTAACACGTTTATTAGATTAATACAATAACAAACGCCAATTTCTTTATGAATATTTGCCATCTCTATGATTTGAATTTTTCGACGTTCTATTGCATGTTAAATACGAAAAAGTCCATTTCAATTTAGCAACAGAAAACGTTTAATTGAAAATATTATGTACGAGAATTCAACACAATCAAAATGCCAACACTACTTTCAAAATAACCCGTCTCGTGCATTGCACAAGGCAATAAACTAGTCTATATAAAAAGGATAATATCTTTTGGGAGAGTTCTGATTTTTTTCCAAAAAAAATGAGAATTACTCTTCCCTTATTTATAGAGGCTAGGGATTTGAGTGAAAATTATTTTCAACAATATATTTTTGACTTACGATAAACTCAAAATTTATAATTTTTATTTTTCAAATATTAGAACAATCATTATAATATCAATAAAATTACGAGGCATTACAACTTACTCGTAAGCCGTGATGTAGATGAATAACACTACTCTAAATCTTTAGAGAATCTCAAATGTTAATTCATTAAAAAAGTTGTCACTTAGCTAGAATAGTCAATATTCTCCAATGCAACATGTCTATGACCATCTAGATGTAGAGATTTTTATGGCGGATCTAGTCACCATAATTTAATATTTTGCCCTCCCGTTTCCTATTTTCTCTCTCTTTTCACTATAATTTAATAGCAAATTATGGTGTCTTTCTATTTTTACAACTAGATAGTTTTCGGTATACCTTTTATTGTCACATTAGCTACATATACCTAGAGATATTGTATTATATAAGAGCTTCTATAGACATTATCTGTTAATGATATTTTTAGTGCAACTCACGTTAGCATTTGATATTCTCTTACTTCTATCTTACTTTTTTAGCAAAAAACTCACGTAAATGTGTAGAAAATTAATTTCACACCAATTTAATCTTATCGTGTGAGATTTTATTTATTATATAGTAAAAAGTAGTTAGTATCTCAGTAGAAATAAACATCTCTATAATTTTTGAAGGTATATTCCAATTGAGTTATTCTTCTTGTACATCAAGTGCTACATAAGGGTGTCCATAATGGACACCCGGCGCCCTCCCATTGGATGAAGTACCGACCCCACCAACCATCCCTCCAATGAAGAGGCGCCGAGTGTCCATTATGGACACCCTTATGTAGCCTCTGATGTACCTGTAGCATCACTCATTTCAATTATACATGTACTAAAACAACATTGAAAAGGAGAATAGGATTTAAAATGAGGCCGTCATCGATCATTTTTTCTCTCTATTTATTTTTATGTTTTATATACTCGCGCATAATAAATTTTACTATAAAAAACTTAAAATAAATTTTCAACCATACAAAAGTATTTGCTGGCATCAAGCAGCAAAACTTAAATAAGCAAAAGAAAGACAACGTTAAAATCCAATATTTCTTGAGCTTTTTAAGAGAAACACGAAAAAAATAAAAAAGTTATATGTTATTTTTGTAATTCACGTTTAAGTATTTTGTTATATATAATGAAATAATTGAATAAATTAATTTTCTGAAATTTGATTTAATTGCATAAGCATATATGAGTATGTATGACTTTCGAATAAAAAAATTAAAAGAGATAAATATTAAAAATTAAAGTTGGTAAAAAGCAAGATCAAAACATAGTAAAGCGTGCTCCCATTTGCGTGGGTAGCTCGAAAAAAAGTGAGAAAAATAAGAACACGTTTGTTTCTCATTTTATGTCATGTTTGGTCCATATTATTTTTTCGAATAAAGCTATGTGTACACAATAAATAAATTA